TGTCCAGCCACAACCTTCTGAACCAGCAGCTAGGCTTGGGTTTTAGGTAAAAAAAAATAAAAATCTCCATCCAGTTTTTCCATATGGGTGTGTTCTGCTAAGTAAATTTTAAGTGCTAGATATCTATATTTTAGTAAGAGTGGGGGTGGGTGGGAGTCAAACTGAATTTTTGCTCCTAAAATACATGTCATTCACTTCAAGGAATACAAATAACATTCTTAACCAAATTTAGAATGTGGTTTTTACAGCTTTAACTGTAGGGAAACAAAATTGACATTGCAATTATTTTTGTTGGTGATTATCTTTCTGGGTTGTTTTTTTTTCATTCAGTAGTTATCAGACTTGTGCCCATGAAGTCATTTAATTAATGCAGTCATTTTTTATTTAAAGTAATGTTTGCAGACACTTTGAAGTAATTTTTTGTAATGCTTACATTTACACTTCAGTTAAGGAGTGGTTTGCACATCTGAATTTCTGTTATGCTTAGTGCAGTAATTTTCTGTATGTTGCCATGCTGATTTGATATACTTTGAAACTCTAAGAGAATAATTAATGCAAAAGAAATGTATGAAACTGTAGGGACCTGTCCTCTGCAAGATGTGTATTTAGCTTTATCATACTTTAATTTTAACTCTTATGCTGACTGCCAGAATACTTGCCCGTCACTATGACTATAGGAACCAGAACACATTCACAATATTTTAGGGAGATCCAGAGGAAATATAAAGAATTATTCGACAGTATTTTCTTCCTAACTTAGCCACATCTTTTTATAGCAAAAATATTCAGCATATAAGAGGCAAGAAGAAGAAAACAAAAGAAAATATGCTTTAAATTAATGTTCATTAACATAGCTGCTGGTGTAATTTAAGTCAAAGCACATTAGTAATAGTGTGGTCAGATAAATTTAGAGGTATTCTTGGTGTGCAGCAGATGTTACCTGGCAAATAAAAACCTTGTAACTTGAGTCAGGAGACAGGCAAAAAGTTGAAATTACACATGGATGAAGTAATTAGTGAATTCTTGAAGACCTGATTCAGAGTAATTTAAACAAGGATTACTTGTACATCTTGACAATTTTTAGACTTGGCCTAGAAAACTGAATGCCTGTATTTGCAAGTGTTGTTTTTCTTTAACAGAAAGATGGTTGCAGACAAAGAAATAATGCTTTTGGAATTTACATCAATTTGTTTGGCAAGAAGTTCTTCTGTAACTTGACGGAACTGTGCTGAATCCAGGATTGGAGAGCAAGCTTCCATTACTGTCACTCATTTAATAAGGGAATGTCCCCCCACGGTAAGGAGTGAACGACTTACATACCTCATAAGGTCTGAATCCACAGCAGATGTAAAGTAGAATTAGAATATGCTTTCGTAATAGATTTTATTGGTTAAAAAGAAAAAAAAAGTTTCCTTGCCTCTTAGCACTTCTAAATAGTTATCTTTCCCCTTTCAGACTTTTCAGTTATTGTCTGTATTTGACATAATAGTGTTACTAAAGCAATGGTTCCCTGCTGATGAAAGCTTTTCTTCATCATACTGATGACTGTCTGGTTGGGTGGTGTCATGTAAGTGATGACAATTGCAAGTCAGAAAGTTGCAAATCTGAAAGTGGAGCAGGAATCCTCCTCTGAGTGCCAGAAATAACCAGCTTCCAGCCTCCATCTTCATGGGAGTCTTGATTTTCTTACTCCTGATAAGCACAGAGTCTACCTGCACTCTTTTCATTACCGTTGAAGGTTCTTGAAGCTGCAGGGTCTTGGAGATGATCCTGTTGTTGTGGGATGTTAATAAGTGACCATCACCTCCATCATTTCCAGCCACTGAGGACCATCCCAGTGTGCCAAGACAGAAAAGAATCTCTGTCCCAGGCTGGTCCTTGGTATTGTCTCTGTTGACCCTTTTTGTGACCAAGTTTGTGTCTCTGTGGGCTATTGTTTATGGTTTTGTCCTTTAGTCATTATTGAGTAAAGAATACTCAATGCATTGAAAAGGTTCTTGATTCGATGATGATTTTAATGAATCAGGTGCTCTCCCCTTACACATGCCCTTACACCAAACTATTTCTCATCATCTCTGATGTTACACAGTCTGGTGACCTCCTCCTGCAGCCACTTTGCTTGGTCACAAGAGCAGGCTGGCAAGGAGTCCAGCTCTCCTTGCTCCAACCTCAGCCAGAGGCCCCAGACATCCCTGCAGCCACATCCCTGCAGAGCTACAGCTCCTCCAGAGCTCACACTGGTTCAAGGCCTCTGCTGTGCAGGAGCAGTTCCTCCAGCAGAGGTTGGGGACTATGCCCTGTGGGACGTCACCAGCGCTGCTGAGCACAGGAAGGTGCTTCTCAGCAGAGCACCTGTCCCCCCTTTTCTGTGCACTTTTCTGTGCCAACTGCTGCTGGTGACTCCCTGTGTCCAACAGTGCCCCTCACCCGTCACACCAGAGCAGATCTGTAATGGCTGTGAGGTCAAGAAGCAAATACACTGGATTTGGTGCACTGCACATTACATAAAGATTCCAGTCACGACCCAGGGACAAATGAAGTTGGTGGAGAGGATTACTGTGACTAGTGCCACCAAACATGGCATAAGATGGACATAAAGGGACTTCTGGGATAAATCCTGTTCCAGTCAGCTGACACATGGTGATGCAGTAACAAGCAGGTATAGTTGAGATACAGCCTTTGCAGAAGAGGGGTTCTCTCCACACAGATGGTCTGGACATGCTGAAGGCTGTCTTTGTTTATTTTTAAGACTTCCATATAACATTTTCATTAATTAAAATATACCTGCTCTCTGATGATAAAATAAAGTTTACATGTTTACCCAGTTCTTTAGATGCAGGGAAATATTTCAGCTTTTCCAGTTTTTTGCTTGCCCCCCCCCCTGCTTGTTCCCATATGAGTAACAATATGAAGATTCTATAAAGCAAAATTCTCAGAAAATCTTAAAGCATTTTCCTGTTTTAAAGATTGGGTAACTGAGGCACATAAAAAGAATGTGAGGTGTTTATGCACTGCAGCTTTAAGAGACAACCCAGGGTCTTGAAAAAAAACATGTCAAAAGCCAAAACTAGCAAAATCACTAATTGTAAGAAGTAGCCATTTGGCTAAATGCTTGGGAAATACACTACATTGTTAGTAGGAACCAGAAGTGTCTTACAGGAAAGAGAAAAATCTTTAAATGATGCCAAAGGTTTCTTCTCCTGTGATAACTACACTGCCTTGAAAATAGTCACAGCATATGTTTAGACCTTACCTATATTGTATCTCAAAATTAACAACAAACACATTTGAAGTATAAAAACTACATATTCTTGTCTGAAATACTGCATTTTGCTGGATATACTTTCATTCTTATTGCACCTACTCTGTAACATGGACATTGTGCTTGTGCAGAGTCCAGCTAATAATAATAATGATGTTATTTTACATAATCTTCATATGAAGAAATTACTTATGCCTGTGAAATCAATCAGACAGCTTTAGTAGATGGTAGCTAGTAGATTCTGATTATGCAATTCTTAAATATTGCACTCACTATAGGATAAATAATGAGGTATTAATAGTTTTCAGTTTTAATAAATTTTCTTAAAATATACTTTTAACCATTTTTAATTATTTTATGTTCTCAATTTAATTTTCATAATTATTCTTCAGTAAGCAAATCTACATAAATACCAGAGGTGTTGACATAAAATTTCATAAGCAAGCATTTGTATTAGAACTGGGATTTTAATTTTATTTGATCTTACCAGACAAAGTAGTCAGTAACTATTCACAACTAACTGTGTGTTCAGAATGCAGACTAGAAGTTGCATAGATACAATTTTCCAGTTATGTAAAGGGCAAATAGGCTGAAATATTTTTAAGGAAATAATTGTATACAAAATAAAAGAAAAAAAGTCAAATTTATTTAAATATTTTCCTATATGTTGTTATCCTGATACTGTGAAAAATCTGATTTTTCCCCTCACTAGGCTGTATTTCACACATGCAGAAAGCATTGTCAATGAGACACTACTCAATATCTGCAGGATAAATTGCTCTGTAGCTTCCTTAGTCTTTTTTTGGCAACTCCATGGTTAAAATTTTCTACAGTTAAAATGGAAAATGATTTTGCAATTTCCGGCTAAGGTGCTATACCAGATTAGATATGAGTAAAATAACTTCTTAATACTGCCCACTGTAATTTTAATACCTATAGATCTCATTAACTACACAAACATAATCCCATTTAGTTCATTCAAGTTTCTGTGTCACTATGCATATGATGACCACCACCATTCTTGAATCTGAACAGATTAATTTGTTACTGTGGGTCTGCATGTGTCCATATACCGCCAAATATATGTCTGTTTTCTTTCTCCCTCTTGTAATGGAGGGGATTTATAGACATACTGTAGCATGGGATGTAATATGCTTGCATGGTGAAAAAAAAAAAGAGAAATAAATTAATTTTTGTTTTATAAGAACAGTGTTATATTGTTTCAGATGGATATCCAGGCACGTTTTTATTTCTTTGCAATGATTCTGACATTTTTGCTTCTTCAAGGGCTGTTTGACAAAGAGGGTGATTAATTCCCAGGGTTTTTCTTTTCTTTGGTGAAATAGTTTCTAAATTGTGGATAATAGCAAACATCTGCAGAGCTCTATTTGTAGAGCCAACAGCATGCAAGTAGATTGTGGGGTGCTAATGTAATAGCTGTGATAAAAACCAGACACTGTATTAATGAAAACCAACCTCTTGGGCTGGTAACTATTATGATTTTCTGTATTGTATCTCTCTGTATACTTTCCCCTTTTGAAAGAAAGTCACTGCAGTATGCTATGCAGAGCTTAAACCATATCACATTCACCATGTTACCTGCAGGACATCTTTCCATATTTGCAGACGGGAAAGAGGGCCAGCAGCCCAAGCGTCTAAGACTGTGAAACACCAAGAGAGACCCTCGGGCCACTGCGAGGGCTGGTGGACCCGTGGTCTGTCAGAGAGTGGAGGGGTCTCCATCGGGATCTGTCAGGGCAAGGCATGTCAGCCAGTGCCTGTCCCACTGGCCCAGCCAGGGGCACTGGGGCAGACTCAGCCGCAGGCACTGGGCACCTCCCTGGGCCCATGGGTGGGCTGAGCAGAGCTGTGGGAGCTGGAGAGCAGCCCTGCTGCAGCAAGTGGCATTGTTCTGTTTAGATAGAAGGATACAGCAGAACCCACAGAGATCATTCTTTGTATTTAAAATATCCAAGCAAACATAACAGTACTGTGGATTTTCTTTTAGAGCCAGACATTTTCTGTCACTAGACAGTCAGTGCTGCACTGTGATGTCCTAGCTTTGTCATCTGTTGTCCTGAGATTAGAGGCTTAGAATCACAGCTAATGTTTTTCAACGGTTCAAAAAGTAAGATTTGGCTTCCCTTGCTGTAATCTGAAAGTATGAACATATTATCTATGGGGTTTGAGACATGATTACACATGCAAAAATTCAGCATTTTCCAGATAAGAGATTCAATATCAAGTAGAGAGATTTTTAGGATTTCAACCTCATGTAATTGAGAGAAATATAATTACAGAAGAATTTTCTAAACGCTGTCTCAAAATACCAACATTTCAAAAAGACATACTTGTCAGGAAAACACTTGTACAAAGTATAGCATTAGATAGACCATATACATTAATAAAATATTACTGGTTTATATAACTGGTAGTGCACAAAAACGACACACAGCTGGATGCCAGGCTGAGGCCCCCAACAAAAACTTTCTCAGCCTACTTTTTCACAGCCTGTGTAGAAAACATTCCTGTTGCCAGATGTTTTGTAGGGGTTAGATCTGTGATATCCCCTCTGGAATGATGGCCAGCATCTTTGTAACAAACAGCTTGGCTTATGTCTTAGCTTTCCAGCATCCCACTGATTTTCACAGAACTCTGTGTCCTCCTTTCAGACTTTGAAGCTGCAAAAGAAAGTAATGTTTTGTTGGCTTGTGAACCGGTCTGTCAACATCTTGGAACTGTAAATTACAGCATGCTTACTACAGTTTGCTTGGATTGGCAGAAACTAGTTGTACACATGTCAGCATCCTGTGATTATTAGCAGCAGCAGAAACTAGAAGAGCTAACATAATATGAGACTAAATTAGATATCTGGTAAAAATATTTTTGAGTGTTGCTGTTATCCCGTTATCCTGTTCTGATTCTTCCATTCATGTGAGAAATTATTCTGCTTTTATTGACCTGAAAACATTATGTTCTGGCAGGCAATCATAAAATATTGATTGAATTTCAAGAAAAAAAGGAACCTCCCAGCATTTTTACTTATAGTATTTCAAATTTATTTGCTTATTTTGGCACTCTCTTTTTCTCCTATATCTAAGAATTGGGTTTCTGCACATTTTTTTAAATATTCTAATCTGACAGTGTCTAGGAGTCTGAATTCCATATCATATGTAATTTACTTCCTGTGTGACATACATTATATGCATTTACTTCATCTGCAAAGGCACAAAAAAATATTATCATAAGGTTGTTGTGGGATCTAATATTTATGAAGCATGCTCTAATCCTTTCCATTGAGAAGTCTCATGAGAGAATATTTATGATATTCAGAATGTTAGCTCTGAAGAATATGAACATATAAACCAAACATCTAATTAAAAATCTTTCTATGTGAAGATTTTTAGTTAAATTAGTCAGTATTATATACGATCTATAGCTATTCTGTACATTAGACCAATATTAATATCAATATCAAAAAAGTATTAAAGAGTTTAAGTACTTAAAAAGGGAATGTGGGAGAAGTTGACACATTATATGAAAAAGCGTTTTTGTAATTCTGTCATTTCTTTATCCCAGATGTTACATTTCCCCTGGTATCATTGCTCATAAAGTACAGTTTAACTTTTTGTTTTATTATTTGTAATAAGGTCTGTCTTTATAGTTTTATCATTAAACCTTATAACACAACGTGGATGAATTAGAAACATCCATGAACATCAAGGAAAATGTGAGAGTTGGGTGTCCCAGGTAAAGTCTAGAGTAGGATTTAAAGGGCAGACTTTATTAACCTGCTATGCCAGTGACTTTCTGAGAAGTCACAGTCCCTGTGTTTTGCAGTCTTAGTTTCAAAAAAGGGAAACTGTGCTAACATTAATTTTCAGGAATTTAGATACTCTGAGAATCTTATGTTTCCAGCTACCTGAAGGAATTTTTTAACAGGATTTCATCAGAATAGTTTGTATCACTCCACGCTGATTTAGATATACTTTTATTAGCTTCTTACATTGAGAATATGGGTGCCAGTAACCGAAAATTAGTTTCTATACGAACTCTTCCATAGTGTTGCTAAATGAATACATGGTTTCTAAAAACTTCAGTGTTCTAGGGCTAGCATGCCTTAGTCTGCTTTATTTTAATGGAAGACTCACACCAAATCCAAATAGGTAGAAATGTGTTTCAGCAAAATGTTTATTCCCTAAAAACACATATCAGCAACAAAACTCATGATGCAAAAGTTCTGTCTTCAATTAATATTCCATGAGCGCAGAGAAAAGGGGCTTAAATTCTAATGATAGTACTACTTTGAAAATTAATAAAATACATTCACTTTTTCAGTCACCAACTTAGAATTTTGAGATGACTACATAATGGCACAAAGTGCTCTCATTTTATCCTTTCTAAATTTCCCCTCTATATTTTTACAGTTGATTGTTAGAAATTTCTGGATAATAATTGCTTTTTAGTCTAATTTCTCATAGGACAGGAAAATGCTTCTCTAGCTGTACAATGGACACAGTGTCTTTTCTTAGATACTGTAAAACCTTCTCTTTCATCACTTCAGTTGGGCAGCTTTCAGCACGAGATACTAGTGAGATACAACTGAGGGGTATGAAGATGTTTTTTTTGTCAGAGAATACATGTGTCAACAGGCTAGAAGTAGTAAACTCCCAGGTTACGTGTTTGCAACCCCTTTGAGAATGGCTCAGCCCTCTTGGGCCACACAAGCTGTCACTTGGGGAAGGGCCAGGCTCCTCCAAACAGGCCAACCTGCCATGCTGCTGCTGCTGTTGCTGGGTTGTCTTCCAGTTCCATGTAGCTGGCAGTAGAGAAAGGTCTTACAGTTCTAGTCAGTACTTTTGAGTCCTGGAGCTATTAGCTGTTGCTGCTCCAACAGTTGCACTTCCATCTGTTTTCACTTTCCATATCTTGCCTAATTTTAGTTTGTCTGCTTTCTCACACCTCAACAAGAATTTTCTCAGCGAACCAGAGCCAAGGTCAGACAGAGGGGCTGTACAAACCAGGGACAGCTGAACCCCACAGCAGAGGGTCACATAGCTACTAATGAGAAAAGTTACTGTGAGAAAAGTACTGGTATCAAAGCCAAGAAGACAGTAAAACAAAAAATCAAAGTCAGAGTGAGGAAAAAAGGGCAAAAGAACATAGTATAATTTTTTTAAGATGGATGCATCATAAAAGTATGATCTATTCAATGTCTAGCTTTGAATTTCACGTCCCTAAATTCAGCTATGAAGTCGTGGTCAAGTATAAAGGTACACTGATGAAAGATAACTGTCAAAGGTAACAAAGGTCAAGTATATATTCTTAAATTCCTGTATGGAATTAACTTTGATTTCTCTAATACAGTTTTGTTTTATATTGATTTGATTTAAAATATCCAATATTGACTGAAGTGGAAAAAAATACATCATTAGATGGGCCGTGGCCCTGTGGTATGACTAGCCCTGCCTGCCCCTGCCCACAGCCCAGGACCCCATTGTGTCCCCTGCCCCAGCAATGCCCCAGCCAGGCTGGTCTCCAGTTCCCCACAGCCCTGCCCTGCCTGGCCATGGGTCCCCACATGAGTCAGGCCCACATCTCAGCTCTGCCTGTCCCTAACCCCATCCCCAGGGAGCTGCCCCATGCTGCCCTGTTGCCACCCAGCTGCCTGCTCCTAACAGACCAGGGGGACCCCCCGCCACCATCACAGCCTCTGTGGTACCCTGATACCTTGCACAAAACTGTATGCAGAGCATATTAGCAGTAAGAAGTCCTATGCACAAGACTTCTCATCAAGGGATGTGATGTCCAAAAGAAATGCTACGGTTTTGTAATGAATATATCAGTGTCGATTCAAATGGCAGCTGAAATTTAACCATGAGGGAGGTAATACAGACTAGTTAGTACTATTGCATTGAGGCTCAGGACATTATTTGCTTTTTTTCATGGTTCTGCTACTGAGGTGCTTGTAAGTACAATAAAGTCAAATAACTTTCCACCTAAATTCTCTATGGGAAGATGAGAATTATGATGCTTTCACTTTTGTTGAAATCTGCTTTATAGAGATTTGGTGGGGTTTTTTTGCTGAAGTCTGTGGACAAGGAACTGAGATTTACTATTTCATACACATGTATAGTGTATCTCAACCAAAGCCTCTTGAAACAGTTTCTATAACTATTGTACTTTGCAATACACAGGTTGAATTGTTATTTAAGTACTTCCTTATTGTCCCAGTCTCATGGCAGATTTGGGCTGGGTGGAATTCAGTGAATAACTTTGTTCATCTTCACACTTCAATATCTGCTCAAAGTGTTTGTTTCTGAAAATAAACTAGGCAAGATTTCTGCCTTATTTGATTTTTAAGCTTATTTTGACAGTACAAATACTTCATATAACCATACAGTAATGTTGAATTTGGATACTCTAGTTTGACTCACAGTGCATGAAGTACATTGTGTTCCAAAGAACAGAAAAAACATTGTTTGTTATTAATTTTAAAGTCTTGTAAATATCATTATGGCTAAATAATTTACCAAGTGACTTAACTGTTTATCAAAATGTCCTTGGTATCCTTCATTTGTAACAGGTTATTCTTAAGCCCAAGTGCCTGTACCATTTTCTCAGCTTCATTAGTCATCTCCAATCAGGACTCTCTTACCTAAGCCATAAAAATTGTTAATATAAGTGATATAGAAGCTGATTTAATCTTTTCCCATGCAGGAGGCACATAGAGTCAAGTTGAAACACAGTATGTTTCTAACTACCTGGAAATGTCTATGAACGTTTCTCTCAGAATGTAGCCATATAACTGAACAACAAACATCTGAAAACAGCAATATGTTTATGTTCAATCTGCAAAAGGTGGCAGAACAGATGTTTCTCACTTAATTGGAAATGATAGCACATGTGCTGATTTCTCCCAGAACATTTTTGCTGCTGAGACAGTTTTATTGAGAAGTAAAAATTTTCCATTTACAACATTTTTTCTTTTTGTACTTTGCCATGGTGACAGGAGTCACATTTTAATGTAACTATAGCCATGACTTCTTTGTCAGAATCTGAATCTGTGGTTTCATACCTTATTAGATTTATAAAAAATGATATCTGTAGCACAAATATTGCTTGAGAAGCAAGTATTTCCTAGAGAATGTTTGGTTACTATCGGAACAAAAGAATAGAGGTAAATAGATAGGAAAATAGTTATTTTAAATATTATATAAACAATAAGGTGAATACAAAAATATTATCAAAAGTTCTAGTTGTTTCCATAACTCAGTGCAGTTCAGTTTTCCAAGCTAGCAATTTATTTGTACCATAGTATATACGGAAGATTTTATTGAAGCAAAGATTGTCTTGATTTCAGCACAATTTCGTATAGATAACAGAAATACATTTTAAACTGCTTAATTACCTATCTCTATCAAAATTCTCCATAACTCCCATTCTAGAATATTAATATTATCAGCAGAAAAAAAAAATGAGCTACCTGTGGCTATGTGCTCACAGAAAAAAAAAAAAAGGAGATACCAGATTAGCTTTTAACTTTAGTTGTAGTCTATTTCAAGAATCGCAACTAGATTCTAATCTTCTCCTGTTTGATATTAGGTTACCTATTCTCTTTCTTAGTTGTATTCTGTTGACTTTTACAAACCTTGATTTGTTTCCTACGTTAGTACAACTG